GATAACATTAAACATACCAGGATTTTGAGTGAAGTTATGTGATATAATTACATAATCTTCATCCTGTAAAAGTTTGCAGAAAAATATAACTTGATTTATATATTAACTCTGTATTATATACATTAATTTTAATAACACACAAGTAATCATTATATTATGTTAGGACTTAACAGTTTTGGTTTCAGTTTATTTTTCATCTTGCATTTTTTTGTTTATTAATGTTTTATATGTCTATGGCAATAATGCTAGCTCTATCACTGAGGCAATGAAAGGATCTGTGTGTGATTCTCTGTCTATATACATATATATGTATATGCACACATTTATATATGTGTGTGTATGTATTTATGTATTTAGAGAATATTTTATTTCTATGATGTTTGAAAACATTTAAAACAATGCTAGATATTTTCTGGCTGCACAAATATGTAGTACAAGAACGTGTTTGGGGATGAAAACACTGAATTCAGAACACTGGTTACTATTACAGGTGGAGAATGGGGAATGAGATCAGGGTAAACTATACAGGGGTTTCTACTATATATACAATGTTATCTATGTTTTATTTCCTTTAAAAATAGAAAGTATATACTCACAGAACATTAGATTCAGGTAGAGCTAGATGGTGGGTATACAGGTGTTGGCGTGCTATGTTTTTTTTTTAATAATGCTTTGTGTTACGTATTTCATGATATAAATCATAAAGCCTTTAACTGGTTCCTGAGATATCATAAATACTTAGTACATGTAAGCTATTACCATGGTAATAAAAACAGAGGCACGAGCTTAGTATTATGGAAATATGGAAGAAAGATTGCTTACTCCTCAGGTTTCTCTAGCTTACTTCTTAGATTTAGAGTGGGCCAAGAAGGGTGTGCAGGATTTTATTTTATTTTATTTTTTTTTTATTTATTTTTTTTTGTTGTTGTTTTAAGTGGTTGCATTTATGGTGACTTGTTATATAACAATAGAAAACTAACATAAATTCCTTACATCTTTTTTTTTTTTTTATTTTGTCAATATACACTGTATATGATTATTATGGCCCGTCACCG